CTGTCTGTGTGTCTGTCTGTGTGTGTGTGTGTGTGTGTGTGTCTGTCTCTGTGTGTGTCTCTGTGTCTCTGTCTCTGTGTGTGTTCAGCTCAGGCCGCCGGTCCTGGATCTCAGCAGAGCTCTCCTCCAGACTATAGCGCCGCCTGGGTGGAGTATTACAGACAGCAGGGGGCGTATTATGGCCAGGGACAGACGCAGGCTCCCAGCCTCCCGGTAATAACCACACTCCACCAATACAGCATTCATCATATAGGCTAATATTATAGACATACACTACTGGTCAAAAGTGTGCAAGAATTAAGATGTTTTTAAAAGCTCACCAAGGCTGCGCTTATTTGATCAAAAATACAGTAAAATTGCTAAATATTTTTACAATTTAAAACGTCTGTTTTCTCTGTGAATATCTGTTAAACTGTCATTTATTTCTGTGATCAAAGCTGTATTTTCAGCATCATTACTCCAGTCTTCAGTGTCACATGTGCACCAATCGATAGGCCTGGGCGATGAAACGGTATCGATATTTATCGACGGTACACCATCATCGATAACGGTAGAGAAAATATTCGATATAGCGCATGATAGTTTCACGCAGCTGTAGCCGAGAAGAGCTGATCTGAGCCAAATGATCTGGAGACATGCGCTTCCTTTACGTTTCTGGAGAGAGAGCGCTTTAAGAACAGAAAACACACAGCGCTGTGAGAAACTCTGTTATCTTTGTTTCTGGAACGTCTCTGTCGCTGTGTGTTCTTCTTCTTCTTATTATTATTATTATTATCAGACTGAGGAGCCCACTTTCACCTGAGCATGTGGATATTATTGTTTTTCTCAACAGTAACAATATAAACATGATAAACACAATAATATATACTATCTATATGTATATCTATCTATATATATATGGGTCAAAGATGTTAAGATGTCCGCATCAAAAGAAATTTACAAAAGTGATTATATGTCCATAGAAAGCACATTAAATGTGAGTAAAGTGTCTACATTTAAGGGTTCAAATAAGTTTTTGAAGAGTAAAATGTCAAAATTTGGTTGAAATAATGTTCCATTGTCATTCAGTGTAACACTTATATTTATGACAATACATTGATATATCAAAAGTGCTCATATTTTTTGCTTGTTTAAAACAAAACTACTCATTTAATTTCATCAGAACATAAGTATGACCATTTTTTATTCCATTTTTTATGTTAGCCCACTTTTTGTTCCTAAATTTGATTATTTTGCTATTATCTGTTATTATCCTTTAGTACTCCTTGCTTTTTATGTTAAAAACTTTAAATACATATATACAATGGGTCAAAGACGTTAAGATGTCCGCATCAAAAGACATTTACTAAAGTAATTTTATGTCCATAGAAAGAACATTAAATGTAAGTAAAGTGTCTACTTTTAAGGTTTCAAATAAGTTTTTGGAGAATAAAATGTCAAAATTTGGTTGAAATAATGTTACATTGTCATTCAGTGTAACACTTATATTTATGTAAAAATTCAAACAACATGCTTATTCTGACCTGTACATATTAAAATATATACAAGAATGAGTGAGCATATACAATTTTATTGGGTTTTAAATGAGTAAAAAATTATTACTGACAAATGGGCAAAACCTAGGATAGTGGCAAATTTAAAAAATTTAAAAATAACAACTAATTAGTATTTGGGGTGAAAGTAATTCGTCATAAATTGATTTTTGGTGTAAATATGCCTGGCAAGATTATTACACTGAATTACATTTTAGTGGGTCTCTTCTGTAAATCAGGGGGAAATGTATGATATTTATTTTTTGCCCAGAAAAACAAAAATACAATTACATTAAACAGAAAACTTTTAAATTTTTTGCGGGGAAAAACAACAACAATTTAAAGCAGTATTACACTTTTACTACTACCTTTTTCTTCTTTTTAAAATTTTTTTTTTTTACACATTTTCAACTTAAAGAAAATATAAAATAAAATGCATAACGTAGTGTTGCTGTAGAACATTGCTGTGTCTGATGCCTAATCATGAGCTTGTTCAGATATGGTGACAAAAACTTGATTATTGAAAAAATAACGTCTTTCTCATGAAACTTCATTTAAATAAATGAATATTCGAATATTCGTTGTTTATGAGCCCAAATATTTGAATACGATATTTCTGAAAAATGCCCATCCCTAGTCACGTGATCTTCAGAAATCATTCTAACATGCTGCATTTCTGATTATTATCAATGTTGAAAACAAATCAGCATATTAGAATGATTTCTGAAGATCATGTGACACTGAAGACTGGAGTAATGATGCTGAAAATACAGCTGCACATCACAGAAATACATTACAGTTTAATACATATTCACATAGAAAACAGCTGTTTTAAATAGTAAAAATATTTCACAATTTTTACTGTATTTGTGATCAATTAATGCAGCCCTGGTGAGCATATTATTCAGAACGTTTAGTATGCATCAAGTGTTCTGACCCTGTTTTCTCCTCTCGTGCCGCAGGATCATTAAAGCGGGCGACTGCAGACCCTTTAGTTGAAGATTTTTGAATCACCGCGAGGAGGAAACAGACCTTTTGTAACAGAGGTTTCTAGATTTGCAACGCCTTGAAGACTTTTACTTTTTTTTTCTTAGTGAGAAACACTAGCTGTAGAATGACTTATATGATTTAAAAAGAGAACTATTTCTAAATCAGGACATCAAATTGTTACTAAATACTTGTGTGCACCATTATTCGAATGGGCGATTTCCGGGATCCCTTTTGGACCATTTCAGAGTTGGGTTTGTTTTCTATTCTTCCTTTTTAATTCTACGATATATATATATAGATGTGTATCGCCAAAACGAACCCCGGAGTCGCGGCGTTTCATCGATCGCGCGATATAATCTCTTATTTTTCTAGTTCTGTTGCAATAAAATTGATCGCGGGCTTAGCAGTCTTGAATTCGTTATCGTTTCGTTTTGTCGTGAAATGTTTTAAGAATGTGTACAAAATGTTTTCTTTTTTTTTCTTCTACATAAAGCATTTTAATTCAGTGCGATGAAAAACTGTGATGTTTTTGTTACAGAAATATATGCTTTTGTTACACGAGAAACGCAACGATGATGTAATTCCTCATGTACTTGTATTCTGTTTTCATTGTCATTTTATTGTACTCTGGTTTAAAAAGGTGCAATATCTAATTTCTTTTTTTTTTTTTTTTTTGAAACAGATGGATTTCTCTAATATTTTGACAGACGTTTAACTTGTAGTTCGTAGAGGTTTTTTGTAGTAGTATTCAAATGTAACGGATAATTTTTTTATTACGGTGATTTGGCGGGAAAAGGTGGTCTTGCGTATCGTGAGGTGGTTTTTTTTGCCTTTGCTCTCTTGTAAAACTATGTATGTATGCTCAGATACTTGACTAAATACTTTATTTAAATATATATATATATAATTAAATCAAAGACTTTTTTGTCCTGCGTTTTTACAGGAAAACTGTCCGTTTTTCTGTTGTTTTCATACTGAAATTTGTCAAAGATTGTGAATGTGTGATTTGAAATTTGATGTTGCATCTTGCTGATGGATGAGACGTTTTATGTGTGTGTAGTTCTGTAAACTTCGACTTTAAAGCGTTCAAGACTGCTAAGCCTCGTAGAGCCTACCTGTGTATTAATTACTTGTAGTTTTTTATATTCCGAGTATTGGAAGATCAAAGTTCTTGTCTTATTTGTTCTCGCCGGTCCCTCGACTTCACCACAACACGCTGTGCGCTCCTGTACAGTCCCGATCCCGTCACTTTTTAATTCAGATTTTGCTTTCTACTCTGTGTGATCTAATATATGTATGATTGATTAGTTACAAATTGATCTAGTATTAACTTCATTGCTTAATGAAAAGGGATATTATAATTTCGAAATGTTTAATTTTAGTGTTTCTTTTCTTCCTCATGTGTACAGGTAACCATGTATTAAAATGATTGAAAGACTATGACTTTTTGGTGCTTTTCTTTGCTCACCGTCGTCCTTTTCGTTGGCTGGTTTCTTCCAGGTGTTTCAAGTCTGGCTTCTTTGTAATCTATGATGGCTAAAGCAATTCAAATGTGGTAAAGATTTTATGAAAGGAATGGTTCAGCCAAAAATGAAAATGTGTTCATCCTCAGGATCAGTTTGTTTTGGAGAAATGTAGCATTGCATCACTTGCTTTGAGTGAGAGAGTGTGTGTGTGTGTGTGTGTGTGTGTGAGTGAGAGAGAGCGAGAGAGACTGTGTGTGTGTGAGAGAGAGAGAGAGAGTGTGTGTGAGAGAGAGAGAGAGAGTGTGTGTGTGTGTGTGTGAGTGAGAGAGAGCGAGAGAGACTGTGTGTGTGTGTGTGGTTTGTCTCCATTGTGTTGCATGTTTTTATTTTGTCAATGAATTTTCTCTGTGGCTGCTAGCGGTGCTTGTAATTATAATTAAGTATTAATAATGTGTGTCTGATAATTAAATGTTTCAGTGTATGAATAGTGATAATCTGGGGGGATGAATGTAATTTAAGACATGCTGATGGTGGAATATTGTTTATTGCAAAGACGATCAGATTCATGAGCTTGTGAACATTACAGGTTTATTTATTCAGGGATTTTATTTAACATTTGCATTTCAGGTCGCATTATCTCTTTGTGACATTTTATGTGATTCTTCTTAGATCTTCAGTTCACTTAAATAGATTGAAATGTCCTGAATGTACATTCATATCTGAGTTATAGCTTGTTCATGTTTGGTGTTTCTAATCTTGCTTTTCTGATGAAGGTTCAGACTGGAGTCTCTCCTGATGTCACGGAGGTCTTTTGTGTTTTTGATGCTGCAGACGATGGACAGAATCAGGGTTCATGTCATTTTTATTCATATGAAGCTTTATAAGCAATGCATTTGAAAAAAGAAAAATACAATTCAGTTAATTTGATAATGAATTTCACTTTATTTCTCAGACAGATTGAATCCATTCAGTGACACAGATGTGTGTGAACTGTTGAATGCTGCTTCCCTTCATGTCTGCTCTCTAACCCTGCTGAAAGAGTGATCTCTGTTCCTCTGGTGATCTGCAGTGTACACGTCGATCCTCCTCAGAGCAGCATGACAGATAGATTTGCATCAGATGAAAGGGAACCTGCGGGATGAGAATGGGATAAAGATGTTCTCCTGCTGGAGGAAAGTGAGAAAACGCTCATTTCAAACTCTCCACCAATCCAGAGAAGAGAGAGCTCACAAAGCCGGAGTGCAACTGAACGCTGGGCTTCACATGAGCACCAATGAATGCTAATCTGCTGCGTTTCAAAAGAATAATGTACAGGATGAGCTCAAGAGAAAAATGCTTCGCGCATAATATAATGTGTGTCACAAATTTGCAATGTGAGACAATACCAGTTTCTGTACAGACACAAAGAAAGTTTGAACATTTACATTGTATTTAAAGTATAAATAATGCATATGCATGAGATTACAATTATTCTGAAATATTCTGAAAATGTGTGTGTATATAGATTATATGTATTGTAAAAAATAATGCATGTGCATAAAATATTAAATGTTATTATATATTCTTAATTATTTGATATATATAGTATAAATAATGCATATGCATTAAAATATAAAACTGACTGTATATTTACATTTCATATATGAATTTCAGATTATATATATTTTATCTAATATATAAATGTTATATTTTGTATAGTGTATAAACACACTGTATATATAAATGTCATATTCTATATATAAATGCATATGCATAAAATTACGCTTTTTAAACGTTCTTAGAATATTCTTTAAAATATAGCTATATATAATGATAATGACAAAAGTTGTAAAATTTAAATATATGTATATATATATATATATATATATATATATATGCATGTGTGTGTGATTTAAAATTTATATATATCATTATATACAGTATAAATGTATATGCATTAAAATATGAAAAAAACGCATATTTCTAAGAATATATATATAGTAGCCTATAAATAATGCATATAATGAAACTGTATATCAATTTCATATTCTATATACTGTATAAATAATGCATATGCATAAAATTACATTACACTTCTTAAATATTCTTAGATTATTAGTTGAAATACAGGCTATATATAATGACATTATGACACTATAGTGTATATATATAATTTGTTAAGCACATTTTACTCATCTCCCATTGTAAACTTAATATTTAGACAAAAAAACTGCAACAAGAGAAAGTGAGTGAAATGTAGAATAATTGTATGTCACGAGAGACTGTGTGTGTTGAGGTTAATAACAGCTGGTTAAATGTGGGAGAATAATTGCAGGCTGTGATGTGTTAATAGCCTCTGTGCAGGTGTTGAGCCACTTATGCGAGATTATCTCTCTCTCATATCTGTCTCTCTCCTCACAAAAACACAGTTTCTCATTGGGTGTGTCTTATTCTTTAAGGGGTGGCTCTTGCATAGAGAGCTTTTTTTCCTCGTGTGTGTGTGTGTGTGTGTGTGTGTGTGTGTGTGTGGGTCGGGGGGTCATTAATAACTAATTAGAGGCTCAGAGCCACAGGCTCCTATAAGTGGAGCTGATCCGGAGGGAGCGCAGCAGTTCATCCCGCATCAGACCCTGCGCCGCAGCACTCATGGGTTCGGTTCTGCCCGCGGAGGCGCTCGCGCTGAAGTCCAGATTCAGGTCTCAGCTGTGTGAGATCATCACCTCTGATATCCTGCACAGTTTTCTGTACGGCCGATGGAGGAACGAGCTGGGAGAGAATCCGTGCGAGGAGCCGCAGAGGACCGCCTTCACCGCCGAGGCTCTGGCGCAGTCCTTCCCCGGAGGTAAAAGCGTCGCGAGCGTCGCTTTATTCATCTGTGAGCGTCGCGTTACTGTCAGAGCATTGGGCTGAAGAGCAGGGGTGCATGCAGGAGCACTGGGACATTTCCCCCAGTCATCTTCAATGACAAAAAGCGTCCCAATTTACCCGAAATTACACTATTTGTGAAATTCGTAAGCATCCTAATTTATTGTTTTAACCTGATAAAGATTAAATTTTAATGATATTATCGATACATTTGAAGTGTTGCTGGGTCGACCTGTAGCCTACAAGCGATCTTTAAGTTTCGGATTAAGTGATTAAAAGCGCTAAAACTATTTTCTCAGGTGTTTTTTTTTTTTAATGTTTTTCATGATATTAGAATGACATGATTGTTAGATTTCGAATGCAGAGAAGGAAACGTTATTTGCAATTGTTGCATTACTGGTTTTGTTATTATAAAACGCGATATTATTGAATAAATTGAAAGAATCGGGCAAATAAACAAATTCGCGAGAAAACCGTTTTGTAAATTCGCGAGAAAAAAAGAATGCATGGCAGATAGGCCTATTTTATTGGTTTTCGCGTTTTATTTCGATTTGTATAGGCGTATTTGGTGATTTTATTCTATTATTTTGCGTCAAATAATGCTGAAAAATAATTGAATTTGTTTAATTCTGATCGCGCACAATTTCCGTCCGGGGAAAAGTCGGGAAAACGCCCGATTCGTTTTCCGAGGTCGTGATCTGTGAGTGGGAATAAACTCTCTCGTCTGCTGGGAATTTCTTCCCAACGAGCTCCTTCAGGGATGCAGCATTCTCCAGCATTTCGTCTCTTTTCTTCTGCTGCAGTGAAGCTGTTTAACGCGGTGAAAGGTGCTTTGGGCCGCGTGTTCGGTGTGTAACCGCCGAGGACTGAATGCAGCGGCTTTACATTCATTAGGTTAACTTTGTGCTTGAGCTGAGAAAGCCAAAGAACAGATGCATTCACGGATCTCTTCTCCTGCGCTGGCACCTCCGCTCCTCTTCATTAACGCACCGTGAAGGGCTCTTTCTGTCCTCATTCACGGCATGTCAAGCAGCTAATCGCCTTTCCATCTTTGTGTTTGCGAAATTCCTGCGTGTTTTTAAACAAGCCATGGCTTCATTCACTCGCATTTATTGCTACAAACGTGCTGAAAGGATAATGAATGTGGAACGAGTCCGTGGAGAATAACGAGTCTTCACCTCTTCTGTTTTATGCGCAACAAATGCGCGATTCTCTGATTTTGACGCTAAATGCGAGCGTCTTTCTTTATTCAATGCGCTTTTACAGTTTCCCTCCCTAACATTTAACGCACTTAATCCGGTTAAATAGAGGTCATATTTCGTGACCAAAATAATAATAAAGGGCATTAATTTCATTCATTCGTTTCGATGCGTCTGCCAAAGTGTCATTACAAAGATGAGCCACTTTTTTTTGTTGTTGCTATAAAATCAGGGATAAACGAATGAAATCATCGAAACTGTGTTTATTAACGCGGGTTCGTTCTTTGAAATGATTTAAAAAAATGAATGCAATATTAATGGATCACAAACAACCAAAATGTTTGACTCAAAACAAGAAAAACGATTCGTTTTAATATTAATTCGTTTACAAACGATTAAAGTTCAAATCAATTTAAAAGTGTCATTTATATTTTTGCAAGTAAAAACAAGATAATGTAATATGTTAATATTGCTTGTTATGATTTGATGTGTATATTTAATATCATATTTATCTTGTATCGCATTTTTTTCATGTATCGCATTTTAATGCTGATCACGAGCAGTAACTAATATATAACCTGGTGACTATGTTATACACATTATATATTTGATAATTAATATTATATATGATTAACATGTTATTAAGGTTCCAAAACAGGGTTTGCAATAGAAGAACCATTTTTGTCTTAGTGTGAAAAACATAATAGGTTTTGTGCAATGGAAAGCTTGCTGGATGTTAAAGGTAAAGACGCTTTATTTTCGAGAGTGCTGAATAACAGACAGAACGATGCTTCTTGATATTCATGGTGCCGGTGTCCTGCAGAGGTGCAGAAGCTGTCGAGTCTGGTTCTGCCCAGCGAGGTCATCATCGCTCAGAGTTCAGTCCCTGGAGAAGGGCTGGGGATTTTCTCCAAAACCTGGATCAAAGCCGGCACTGAGATGGGCCCGTTCTCCGGGAGCCTCGTGTCCCCTGAGCACGTGGACCTGCGGAAGAACAATAACCTCATGTGGGAGGTGTGTGTGTGTGTGTGTGAGAGTGTGTGTGAGAGTGAGTGAAGTGGTTTAATGAAGAGATGTGTGTGTGTTCAGGTGTTTAACGAGGACGGCACAGTGCGCTGCTTCATCGATGCCAGTCAGGAGGACCAGCGCAGCTGGATGAGCTACATTAAATGCGCCCGGAACGAGCAGGAGCAAAACCTGGAGGTGGTTCAGATCGGCAGCAGCATCTTCTACAGAGCTCTGGAGGTGAAGCATCTTCTGCTGTCTCTCTGTTGAACTGCTGATGCACTGCTGGACTGATGTGATGCAACACAGTTGTACAGTGATCATCAATGGGGTCCAAAACTTTGAGTGCACGTGGAAAACTATGGGATTCAAAATCTGAATAAATTTAATATGAAAATAAACTACATTTCAGTATTTTAAAAAGTAAAACAAAGACACAATTGCATACAATTATGAAGAAATCCCTTGTTTTGTGTTTAAAAAATTTTTTTTTAATGATTTTGGCAGTGTTAATGCAAACACCATAAAATTTGCCAAAATGTTTTATTTTTTATTGGAATTTTAATATTTCACTTTCATTTAAACATGTCACTCTAGCTAGCATTTAAAGGGTTAAAATCCTGACAATGAATTAATTTGATAAGGATCGATGATGATTAAAAAAAAACTGTCAGCGGGAAAAAATATTAATATGTAAATTTATGACCTTTTTTTTGACAGAAATTTTTGTCCTGTAAGGATAGCTGTGTAACTTTCTGAAATTGATGCACAAGGGGTTAATTTATTAAAAAACAATGAAATTGGTATTCTATATTCAGATGGTCAGATGTTGGTTTTGTGGATAATATCACACATTTTTTTAATTAGACAAATGCAAAATATCAAAGTTATGAACAAACATTCTTCCAGTAACATTAATAGAGCGTTCATTCAGAGTTATCTAGTCTTTAATATTGTTCTCAAACCGTTAGCACAAAAACATTATTCACTTTATGTACATAATTAATGGAATGTTTTTCTGAAACATTTTAGTAGCACGTTTGTCTAATGTTTTTAAATGTTACTCGTTTCAGAACGTTCAGAGAACATTCAAAAGTAACATTCCCATGATGTTTGCAAGATGATACAAAAATTGCAGTTCCCTCAATGTTTTCTCTCAAGTTACATAATCAATGGAAAAAGTTTTTTTAAACATTTAACATTTTGAACGTTGTTTCCAGACTATTCCTCCGGAGCAGGAGCTGCTGGTTTGGTACAGGAATTCCCACAACACTTTCCTGGGTATTCCCGGCGTTCCCGGCGCAGAGGAGGAGGAGCAGCAGCAGAAGAGGAGCGGTATGTGTTCACCTGCAGCTCACGCTGATCAAAATCACGGCTATTCAACTCGTTATGCGTTCTTAAGCTTTATTGCTTAATTAGTCTGAGTTTAAGCGCTCGAGGAAGGAATGCAGAGCAGATGAACATTTAACATTTTGAACGTTGTTTCCAGACTATTCCTCCGGAGCAGGAGCTGCTGGTTTGGTACAGGAATTCCCACAACACTTTCCTGGGTATTCCCGGCGTTCCCGGCGCAGAGGAGGAGGAGCAGCAGAAGAAGAGGAGCGGTATGTGTTCACCTGCAGCTTACTTAATTAGTCTGAGTTTAAGAGCTCGAGGAAGGAATGCAGAGCAGATGCTGATCTGAGAGAGACATGAACACGTGTGCCCTCTGGTGGTGCATTATGGGATTGCTGTCCACATTTGACATCCCATAATGTTTAAAGAACAATATTTGTCCAGCTATTATTTTACACACTTTCATGTCATGCTTTATAATTTATAATTCACACAAATTAATGTCTTTGTCACGATAAACTAGATAAAATAGTATCTAACATAAAATTAACTACACTTTAAATCTGAAACTAGTCACGCTTAACCATTCAAGCAACTTGCTTTCTAAGAAAAATGATCAAATAAACTTTTTTTTTCTTTAAATTGAGAAATAAAAGTTCATCAATTAACACAGTTATTGCATGCTTAATTTAGATTGAATCTGCAGCCTTATTATTATTATTATTATTATTATTTGCAATCTTGTTACACATTCTGTTATAGGTTTATTTTTTGGACCTAAGATTTTATGACTTATATGAAATATTTTATTTATATTCAATTTAAATGCATATGAAAAAAAATATTATTTTATTTTATTTCAGTTCATGTTTATTTTAGTTTAGTTTTAAACCACACAAATTAAGCTAGAACAGGGTTGCAAAAATGGTGAAGCTTATATAATGTATAACGTAACCTCAAATAAACAAAATAAAACTGCATTATGGGATTGCTGTCCACATTTGACATCCCATAATGTTTAAAGAACAATATTTGTCCAGCTATTATTTTACACACTTTCATGTCATGCTTTATAATTTATAATTCACACAAATTAATGTCTTTGTCACGATAAACTAGATAAAATAGTATCTAACATAAAATTAACTACACTTTAAATCTGAAACTAGTCACGCTTAACCATTCAAGCAACTTGCTTTCTAAGAAAAATGATCAAATAAACTTTTTTTTTCTTTAAATTGAGAAATAAAAGTTCATCAATTAACACAGTTATTGCATGCTTAATTTAGATTGAATCTGCAGCCTTATTATTATTATTATTATTATTATTTGCAATCTTGTTACACATTCTGTTATAGGTTTATTTTTTGGACCTAAGATTTTATGACTTATATGAAATATTTTATTTATATTCAATTTAAATGCATATGAAAAAAAATATTATTTTATTTTATTTTATTTCAGTTCATGTTTTAGTTTGGTTTTAAACCACACAAATTAAGCTAGAACAGGGTTGCAAAAATGGTGAAGCTTATATAATGTATAACATAACCTCAAATAAACAAAATAAAACAGATATAACATTTTAACACATAGTATTAAAACAATATTTACTCCAATCTCCGGAGGGTTGAACAATATATATATTTTCAGTTTTCATTTTGAGTTACAATATTTCTTTTAAATTTGTTATTTTTAAAAAATAAAAATAAAAAAAAGACAAAAACACGTCTGTGTAGTTTTTATTAGGTTTTAGTTTGAGTTATTTTAGTACTTCAACTCAAACTAAACAAAAATGATGCCATGGAATTGCTGAAATAAAAAAAATATAAAAAAAAAATGAAATATTTAAATGTATATGAAAAAATCTATTTTATTTCCGTTAATGTTTATTTTATTTTAAGTAGTGACATTTTTTTAAAAAGGTTTTAGTTTGAAACGACACATTAAGCTAGAACAGGGTTAAAAACAGATATAATATTTTAACACATATAATAATAAAACAATATTTACTCCAATCTTTCTGACAGTTTTTCACCTCCTTTTACTGACACGTTCTAGAAACAGTTCAATACATGGACTTTTTGAGCCCTTGTTTGTATCAGTTTGTGGAAACTGCATTTGTAAATGTAGCTTCTCCAGTGTCCGAGACTGAGCCGTTCTCACTGTCCTCCACAGCAGACGACTCTCACGTGTGCGTTAATATCCTAATGATTTTTGGCATAAAAGAAAAATGTATAATTTTGGTTCGTCTGAAATGAAATGTCTTGTATTAGTAGCACGATTTTCAAAATAGATCTCCAATATGTTTAATAATCTGATCACACTGCAAAAAGTGCTGCTTTTCCTCCGTACTTCTGTCTTGTTTTCAGTGCGAATGTCTGAAGATTCTTCAATCAAGAAGATACATTTACTTCAGAAGCAAAATAACATAAAGTCTCGTTTTCTGAGAAACTGATCAAAATGAGTTCATGACTGAAACAAGAACTAACAGGTTCAGAAGTAAGTTTTCATTCCCCTTTGGCAGAGGTTTTAATCATAAACTCACTTCATTCTGTTTCATGTCTCAGAAAGCACGTTTAATTAGCATCTCCAGTCTGGAAAACAAGACCAAAACACTGAGGAAGAGATTTCTTTTTGCAGTTCATTCAACAATGAATGCCATGACTTTATGAATTTCAGACTTTCTGCTCTGATTGAAGACATTTTCAGGCCTTAGTGTGAGAGAAAGTGAATTAAGACTTTTTTTAAACCGGCAGAAACGCCTTAAAGTGACAATTACTTGAGAATATATTACGTCTTGTTTTGAATCAAAATGAAGTGAGTTTATGCTTAAAACAAGTACAAATATCTGCTAATGTAGTCAGGAAAACTATCTGGTTTCTCCTTTGAATTACGTTTTTTTCTGAGCCCATTGGCAGATATTCTTGTTTTAAGCAAAAACAAAAACAAAAAGATAAAAGTTTGATACATTTAGCAGAAAACATGACATGATACATTGTTATTTCACTTCTTGATTTTAAGAATGTTTAAATATTTGTACTGAAAAACATCACAAATACAGTCATAAAACCTTTCTTTTTTGCAGTACATCTTTTGTATGGAGTACATGCTAATATTCATGTATGTTGATGTTTCTACCTGCTCTTTAAGATCAAATAGACTTTCCTGCAATTCAGTGAATTGTGCATAAAGCTTCAGTTCAGCAATAATTAAACGCTTGAAAGAAACGAAGAGAAAACCTCAAACCATCTTCTGTCTCTTCGGGTGTGCAGCAGTGACTCTGATGAATGAACACGAGTATAAAGTTGATTTGCGAACACTGGATGCATTGCTTGGTCTAATGGATCTTGTGAGTCGGTTCGGTGGATCAGCCAATCGCACAAATCAGCGTTAAGATGTATTGTATTTTTTTATGTTTGTATTTTTGTCTATTGTAAATAAAACAGTTGAAACAAACGACTGATTGCACTGTGTGGGAAATTGGAAGCTAGTTATCTTATGTTCATTTCCGAGTGAATCGTTCTAGTGAATCTTTATGTTCAGAACCGCCTGAATCGGTTCGCGCATTCAGTTTGAATCATTCGGGCAGCGCTTCTCATTTAGTACAATGACAAAACAGAGAACACAAAGACAACATTTCACTGCAATCCAGTGACTCAAACCTCTACATGCATCGTATCGTTTGCCAGCCACGAAGATCGATCAAGATGAACGATTCACTGCAGGTAAAGACATTTCCCATTCAAAGAGGATCAAAACATACGCGAAGTATCATTACGTTGAAATTGTTTTGCATGCCATGTACATACCATAGTACTGCCACTGCCACTGCAGGCTACTTTTAGGTCATTTTGAGAAACGTAATACACCGCACCTTTTTAAGAGGTCGAAGGTGGCTGAATAGTGATTCAGTGATTCAGATGTGTCGATTCGCTGAGCTGAACTGCGTGTTTGAATCAATTATGATGATCAGTCAGCAACTGGTAACTGTTACAAACTCAAAGGTACAGTTCACCCAAAAATGAAAATTCTATTTCATTCCAAACCTATATGAGTTTCTTTCTTCTGTTGAACAGAACATAAGATATTTGAAGAATGTTGGTAATCAAACAGTTGATGCTCTCTATTAACTTCTTCACACAAATATTACTACTCAAAAACTTCACAATAACTCATTCTAACTCTAAACTAGAGGTTTAGAGGTCTGTGGTGATTCCTCTTTTGATTTGCTCTGTCACATCAGCTGGATAGAGTTACATTTCTACTCAGACTTTCTGAAACAGCTAAAGACTTGTTTCTGCTCTTCTGAATCAAAGATATGTAGGAAATAAAACAAGTAATATAAAAACAAAATCACTGTTGCCTTGGGAACTAACTGAAATAAGTTGAAGTAAAATTACTAAAAGTGGAAAAACAAATAGAAAGAATAAAAAAAAGAATAAAAATGACAAAAGCGCACATTAAAATTACTCAAACTTAAACTAAAAAATAAAACGAATATAAAAATAATAGATAATTCAAAATATTAATAAATATTTTAATAGTATATAAGTAATACTAAAATAACACTGGCTTTTATTTAAATGAGTGATGCTGCAACATTATTTATTGATCAGGAGACAGTAACATGAGAAACATGAGTTTCCAATGTCTTTAGTCAGTTCAGTTGATTTTTTGTGTACATTTAATGGTTAAAGCTGTCAGGTTGGTGTGAGTTATGAAAATATCTGAGATCTAAATTGTTCATGTCTTTGTTTTTTTTAGCTGATATCTGTTAGTTCTGAAACCATCTGCATGCTGTAAAACAAACTTTTTAATGTATATTAATTTTAAAAATATATATTTTTTATATTTTCTGCTTGACATAACTAGAAAAAAGTATGTCCATATTATAGAAATTTCCATGACTTGTTAGATTTGATTAATTCCATGAATTTTCGATATTTTAATTTCTGACTTTCTGAGATTTTATTTATTTTCATGACTTTTCTGACTCCGTCTGATATCCTACAATTTTGATAATTGCGATCCTGCCCTGTAGTGAAACTAGAAGAGCGTCCCACCTCTGTAGGTCTTGTCTGATAGCAGTGAATAAAGAGATATAATTTTGCTTGACAATAGCGTGCAGTGTGGAAAAGATCTGAATTCCTAAATATTTAAAAGTCTTACTTAGTGGAATCGAGGTGGACACTAATGCAGTATTGGCCGATGCTGACAATGGAATTAATACAGATTTTTCCCAGTTAATTTTGTAACCACTGACATTGCTAAAATCTTTAAATATTTTAAAACATTGAGAGAGAGAAGTGGAAAGGTTAGACATATACAGCAAGATGAAAATCATCCGCAAAAAGAGAAATATAATGTTTGGAACAGCCTATAGTGATAGGGGAAATTATGTGATCCTGACGAATTGCCTGCGCCAATGAGATTGCAAATAGCAATGGCGACAATGGGCAACCCTGTCTCGTGCCTCTCTTCAACTGAAAAGCAGTTGAACAACATAAACCTGTAGATACCCGTGCAGAAGAGTTAGTATAGAGAGTTTGGATCATGTGGATAAAGCGAGAGCCAAAACCGAATCAAGTTAAGACAGACCATAGGTATCTCCACTCAACCCGGTCGAAGGCTTTCTCTGCGTCTAGTGAGAGGATAGCGTGTTGTTCGTTAGCCAGGTCGGATGAGTCAATAATGTTCAAAAGGCGTCTTACGTTATCCATAGCAAAACGTCCCGTGAGAAATCCTGTCTGGTCATGGGAAATTAGGGAACTGGCAACTGTTCCTAAACGATGGGCTAGAACTTTAGCGTATACCTTAGCATCCGTACCAATTATAGCTTGATATACAGGCCTATAGCTTGAACAGCGAAGGGGGTTCTTCCCTTTTTTCAGAACCAGAGAGATAAGGGCAGTATTCTGATCTCTGTGGAAATGACCTGTATCTATCGCAAAATTTATAGAGTCGAGAAGTAGCGGTCCAATTAGATCCCATAAAACCAAATACAGCTCCGAGGGTAAACCATCCAGACCAGGTGCCTTATCCTTATTCATTGACTCTAAAGCTTCCTTTAATTATTTCAGTTCTATTGGAGAATCGATAAAAGTCTGTTGCTCATCGTTTAGATGAGAGAGATTTAGTTTTGACAGAAATTCAATACCAGGTTGTTCGTCCATTCCCACCTCTGATCTGTAGAGATGCTCGTAAAATTCTTTAAATATCCTGTTCACCTCTCCCGGAGCTGTATGAAGGTCGCCTGCACTATCCTTAATGGCTGTTATAGAGGACAGAGCCTCGTTGTGCTTCAACCTTAAAGCCATTAGTTTACTGGGCCGTTCTCCATTAAAATAGTAGTTTTGTTTAGTGCGGTGTACGAGAAATTCTGCCCTTTTTAGTAAAATTGCTTTATAATCAGTTCTTAAATTCCCTAAAATCCTACTCTTCTTTTCCGTAAAAGTTTTTTTTAAGATCCTTCTCTAATAATTTAATCTGGCCCTCAAGGTGAGTTATTTCTTTTACTCTGGATTTATTTATATATGAAGCAAAAGAAATGCAGTTGCCTCTCAAAAATATATATATATATATATATATATATATTATATATATTGAACATGCATTTATCTCCATCATTTGTTATTAGTTACAATTCTGTTACTTTGCTGACTGTTGCACGTGTTTTTCTCCATTTCAGTGCTGTTGCTTTACAGTTATGGATGAATGTGAAGGTTTTAAATGCATGGATGAGATCTTGAAATGCTCAGATGTTTGTGCACCAGAAAAAAAGCACAGAAACTTCTGTTCACCACAACATTTATGCTTTTAAGCCATTGGTGTCTGTCTGCAGATGGTGAAGAAAAAAGCATCATGATATTTTACATTCATCTGGACTTACATTTACAAATGCATCAAGCAGCAGTTTGCACCAAAATGATTAGTGATATTTCACAAAACCAGTAAATAAATTATGTATTTCAGCACAAAACACGTTCAAACTGAGAAGTAGGCTATACAGAAACAAAGCATCATTTATTGTGAAAGATGCAGAGAAATGTTTTAGGTACAGAACCTCAAACATACTGTACTTTAGTGTCATTCATCATGAACTCCCATGTTTCCATCTGTTATTATCAGCTCTTGTGTCTTTGTTCTGATTATCAGTCGAGTCAGTTTTCCTTGAGTTCATGCTTTTATCTTTTAACTTTTATCTATCTCAGAGAACAGTCGGTCCAAACTGTTTCATCTCATTTGAACATTTGTAATGTTATTGCTGTTATTACTACCATTGTATATTTGTTAATATTACTCATGTAGCCTCATCTCAATTTGCTAACCTAACCTAACCTAACCTAACCTAACCTAACCTAAACCTAACCAAACCTAACCTAACCTAACCTAACCTAACCTAACCTAACCTAAACTAAACTAAACTAAACGAACCTAAACTAAGCCTAACCTACCTTAAACCTAACCTAAATCTAATGCAACATTTTCTAGTTTAACCAATGGCGTGCGTTGGAGGCGTGGCTACTTCGAACAACGTTTGAACCAAGCGGCAACCTCCCGCTCGCTCTCGTGAAGCCAACACGGAAGTGACTTAAACTGTAATTCATCGACTGGCCGCTAGAGGCTGGCTGCAAAAGGGAGTCAGTCCCATAGACTCCCCCTAATTTTGCCCTTCATGACAACTGTGAGGGGGGTGAATTTTTTTTATAACTCATCCGTTTAAATTATATTAAGCCTTAAAGTTCTGCATAATTAAGGGCGTGGCCACTTGAGTGACAGGTGGATTGCCGCTGCTGTCACCACCGTCGAGCTAGGTGGGCGTGGCTTCAGCAACCTGCTCCCGCCTCTATACCCATTTTCGATTATCCGGGAGTGTCGCGCGGTGACGCGCTGCCAAGATGGCGACGGCCGCCTCCGCCCACTTTTGAGCTTCAAAAACGCTCTTCGGAAATCTACGGGTGACGTCACGGACACTACGTCCATGTTTTTATACAGTCTATGGTTTGAACGCACGGCGCACAGCCGCTTCATCATCATCATCATCATCATCATCATCATCACAGTGAAGAAGTTTGCCTTCGCCATCAAATGAAATTAATGTTGAACTTGAAACACTTGCTTAAAGACGTAGTGACAGAATTTTAATGTATGAAAACTATAATAATTATAGGCAGCGCTTTTACAATGTAGGCAAATGTTGTTTCAGAACAATCTTTATGTAATTCAGTCTTTTACTGCATAACTTTCACTCTTCTTGAATGTTAATAACTGATGTTGTTTAGCACGCGTTCTGTGTAAGATCCTAATAATTATTTTACTCTTTAAAACTGATCTAAGACTTGTAAAACCTGTAGTGCTGCAAGAAAAAAAAGTCTGAATATTATTATTTTGCTATAATAATAATATTATTATTATTTTCATCAGCGTCGACGCATGAACCGCGAAGCCCTTTTGACTGACGCTTGTTGTTTCTATTTGTGACGCGACGCTCCGTTTAGTCCCGCCCACAGCGGATTCTCATTGGCCCAGAATCCCGCCATGACGTGTCGCGCACTTTTGACGCGAGCGCGTGTGATTCCGGGAGCGCGTTCCGTTCGACGCGTCTCAGCAGCAAGTCAATAAACTCGATGGCCGTGACGGAGAAACTCATCCAGACGGTGCACGCGTACCCGGTGCTTTATAACGCGTCGCTGCACGATTATCGCAGCTCGGAGCGGAGGGTGAAGGCGTGGAGGGAGGTCGCCGCGTGCGTCGGGCTCTCCGGTCAGTGCGTCAACATTACGCGCGCGTTCCACGCCAAGCGTTTGACTGTAAAAGTGTTTCTGTTTTGCAGACTTTGATGATATTCCACAGCATATATACCGCGAGCGACGCGACACACGAGGACGCGTTGTGATTTGACGCGCTTTAAATGATGGACGCTCTCGTGAAGTTACAGGGATTCATTCCGGACGCGTTCTTGAGTTCCTGAAGCCAGATCTGATCAAGATTTCAACTTTTTATCAAGAGCGCGTCCTTTCTAAACGCGTCCGATTCAACGCGCGAGTGAAGCTTCATGACGCTGGAAGATCCAAACACTGCATTAATGCGGCAAGACGGAGATGTGAGCAGATCAGAGTCAGTCCACGCCTTATTAATGATGCATATATCATATTCGAGCAGATACAGATGCGCGCTACGCGTTTAGTTTGCGATGCTTTTCTGTAGCGCGCGTTGCGTTGCGTTGCTATTCTGCGCTCATCTGGTTGCCTGGATATAATATGCATCATCAAATAACAGAAAATGCTTCAAGTGAAGATCACAGAGTCATTGTCTCAGCAGCAGTGTATTTATTTCTGTGTTAACGCCACATCAGCAGCAATCATCACTTCAGTACATCACTTACAACAATCTAACATTTGCTTAAGAAACAACAATAAAAATCACATGCAATCTTTCAGCTTAATCCGTGATAAACATTC